CACCTCACAACCTTTTGTAACTCTACTTCCAGGAGAATCTTCTGGGCTCCAAGGGTACTGCACTCAAGTACACATACCCACACACAGACACTCAAGCATACCTATAATTTAAAAATTAAATGAAAATCTTTAACTGATTGTCTTAGTTTGAGTTTTATTGCTGTGAAGAGATACCATAACCATGGCAACTCTTTATTCATTTTTATTTTTTATATTAATTACAGTTTATTTACTTTGTATCCCAGCTGTAGCCCCCTTTCTCACTCCCTTCCAATCCCACCCTCTCTCCCTCATTTCCTCCCTGCTCTTCTTTAAGTCCACTGATAGAGGATGTCCTCCTCCCCTTTCATCTGACCCTAGCTTATTAGGTCTCACCAGGCTGCAATGTCCTCCTCTGTGGCCAAGCTAGGTTGTTTGTCCCACGGGTGGGGAGGTCAAAGACCTAGCCACTGAGTTCATGTCAGAGACAGTCCCTGTTCCCCTTACTAGGGAAACCCACTTGGATACTGAGCTGCCATGGGCTACTTCTGATCAGGGGTTCTAGGTTATATGCATGCATGGTCCTTGGTTGGAGAATCAGTCTCAGACAAGACCCCTGTGTCCAGATATATTTGGTCCTTGTGGAGCTCCTGTCCTCTCCAGGTCTTACTAACTCCCCTTCTTTCTTATGATTCCCTGCACTCTGCCCAAAGTTTGGTTATGAATCTCAACATCTGCTTTGATACACTGCTAGGTAGAGTCTTTCAGAGGCCCTCTATAATAGGCCCCTGTCCTGTTTCTTGTTTTCTCCTACTTCCAATGTCCATCCCATTTGTCTTTCTAAATGAGGATTGATCATCTTACCCTGGGTCCTCCTTGTTTAGCTTCTTTAGGCGTACAGATTTTAGTATGTTTATCCTATCTTATAAGTCTAGTATCCACTTATAAATGAGTATATACTGTGTATATCTTTCTGCTTCTGGGATACCTCACTCAGGATGATCTTTTCTAAGTCTCACAATTTGCCTGCAAATTTCATGCTTTCCTTGTTTTTAATTGCTGAGTAATATTCCATTGTGTAAATGTACCACAATTTCTCAACCCATTCCTCTGTTGAGGGACATTTGGGTTGTTTCCAGGTTCTGGCTATTACGAATAAAGCTGCTACAAACATGGTTGAACAAATGTCCTTGTTGTGTACTTGAGCATCTTTTGGATATATGCCTAGGAGTGGTATAGCTGGATCTTGAGGAAGCACTATTCCTAATTGTCTGAGAAAGTGTCAGATCGATTAAAAAAAAACACCCAGAATTTCCAAAATGATCCTGTACAGCAACAGATAGTCGGGAGGTATCTCCATCTCTGATCTCAAGCTGTTCTACAGAGCAATAGTAATAAAAACTGCATAGTATTGGCATAGAAACAGAATGGTAGATCAATGAAGGAAGATCAAAGAATAGAAGACCCAGAAATAAACCCACACACCTATGGACACTTGATTTTTGACAAAGAAGCCAAAACCATTCAATGGAAAAAAAGACAGTACCTTCAACAAATGGTGCTGGTTCAATTGGATGTCTACATGCAGAAAAATGAAAATGGATCTATATTTATCACCCTGCACAAAACTAAAGTCCAAGTGGATCAAAGACCTCAACATAAAACCAGACCCACTAAATTGGTTAGAAGAAAGAATGGGGAAAAGCCTAGAACTCATTGGCATAGGAGACAACTTCCTGAACAGAACACCAACAGCTTAGGCTCTAAGAGCAACAATAATAAATGGGACCTCATGAAACTGAAAAGCTTCTGTAAAGCAAAGAACATACTCATCAAAACAAAACGACAGCCTACAGACTGGGAAAGGATCTTCACCAACCCTATATCTGACAGAGGGATAATATCCAGAATATATAAAGAACTAGAGAAGTTAAACAGCAACAAATCAAGTAATCCAATTAAAAAACGGTGTACGGAGCTAAACAGAGAATTCTCTGTAGAGGAATATAGAACGGCAGAGAAACACTTAAAGAAATGCTCAATGTCCTTAGCCAATCAGGGAGATGCAAATCAAACTGACCCTGAGATTTCACCTTACACCCATCAGAATGTCTAAGATCAAAACTCAAGTGGCAACACATGCTGGAGAGGTTGTGGAGAAAGAGGAACCTTCCTCCATTGCTGATGGGAATGTAAACTTGTACAACCACTTTGGAAATCAATCTGGCACTTTCTCAGACAATTAGGAATAGTGCTACCTCAAGATCAAGCTATACCACTCCTAGGCAATCTTATAAAAGAAAATATTTACTTGAGGCTGGCTTGATGGTTTCAGAGGTTTAGTCCATTATTGTCATGACAAGAAACATGACATTATGCAGACAGACGTGGTGCTGGAAAAGGAGCTGAGAGGTTTACATCTTGATCCACAAGCAACAAGGAGACACTGTACACCACACTGAGCATATTAGACCTCAAAGCCCACCCAATAGTAGCACACTTCCCCCAACAAGGCCACACCTACTCCTAATAGTACCACTCTCTGTGGGCCAAGCAGTCAAATATATGAGTCTATTGGGGCCATTCCTATTCAAACCACCACAGTGATGACTAGTCATATAGATGGAAACGATATGGTTTACATAGCCACTATACACAATTCAACATTAATATGTGTTATATCACTTATTCAATACAAGTGAATATTATTTAGTATAAATTGTATGCCACATTTGTGTGTGTGTGTGTGTGTGTGTGTGCATGTTTGTCTGTGTGTTGTGTATGAAGGTCAAAAGATAAATTAGGGTGTAATTCCTCAGGCGCCATCCATGTTGGCTTTGCAGCGTGGGTCTCAGTAGCCTGGACCTTGTTGGTTAGGGTAGCTGTCTAGCCAGTGAGTTATAGAGAGCCTCCTTGCCAGGTGTGAGCTCTCTGTCCTTATACAACTTATACTTTCCTGGCTGAGCCATCTTCTCAATCCATGTATCTCACTTATGAAAAATTTTCAAATATTATGCCCAGAGTCATTAGACTTTATTTTCCTGTTTGTGCCTTTTTATTTACTTTTTTCTTAAGTGCAAATTTTAAAAATTACATTACATTTTATTTATTTTGTTGCATTATATTTTATTTACTTGTGTGTATGTATCATGCGAAGTGTGCCAGGGAGCACAGGTGGAGGCTAGAAGAGAGCTTGCAAGAGTAAGTTCTTTCCTATGATATAATTCTAGGAATCAAAGGAAGGCTATCAGGCTTGTATGGCAGTCATCTCTACTCACTGAGCCATCTCAGTGGCCCTTTCTCTTGTCTTTGTGTCAGAAGTATTCCTTCAATATACACATGACCGTTGAACACATTTAAGGGGTTAAATGATACAACACAATATTCATATCATAACCAGATCAGGTTCATTGGCTATCCATCATCTCAGATACTGGTTTCTTTCTTTCTTTCTTTCTTTCTTTCTTTCTTTCTTTCTTTCTTTCTTTCTTTCTTTCTTTCTTTCTTTCTTCCTTTCTTCCTTTCTTCCTTTCTTCCTTTCTTCCTTTCTTCCTTTCGTGGGTTTCTCAGTGACGCCTTGGCTGTCCTGGACTTGCCTTGTAGACCAGGTTGGCCTTGAACTCACAGGGATCCACCCGCCTTATTTCTTTATACAAGAATGTTCAAAATCTATAGTTCTGAAATATTGAATTAATTGTTGTCGACCACAGTCACCCCACAGTTATTCCTCTTAATGAAAAACTGAACTCTTAAGCCTCTTTTCTATTCTGTTAGTCTTTCTTCCCCACTGCTCTCCTCATACTCCAGGTACCTAATACTAATATACTAATACCTTCCCATGAGGTCAGCATTTTTAGCTTACACATCTGTTGTAGTTACAGAAGAGTTTACTGTAGATCATATTCCATGTTATAGAGAAGTCACAGTGACAGAGGCGTAAGACAGTTGGTCATGTCACATCTGTAGAGATGAGCAGATGCAATGAATGCATTGCATGCTCAGTTCTTGCTTATGCCTAGCTCAGTTTATCTACTTTCACACAGTTCCACACCCTTGCCTAGGGAATGATGTCACCTACAGTGGGCGAGGTCTTCCCATTTGATTAACTTATCTAAAATGATCTCCCACAGACATGCACACAGGCCATCCCAATGTAGACCATTCCGCATTAGGACTCTATTCTTGGGTGGTTCTATGTTGTGTCAAGCTGATAAAGTAGACTAATCAACATGTAGGTGATATCATGTGTTGTCCACCTCCACAAAAATATTTTAAAGCACATCTTAGCTGTTGCCTCAATTTTCTTCTAGCTATTTCAAGAACACCTCTAAAACAAAGATGGGTGTGCGTGATGCAGCGGCACACGCTTGTAATCATAGCACTTTGTGGGCTGAGATGGGAGTATTGTGAGTTGGAGTCAAGACTGGGCAACACAGTAAGTCGAGACTAGCCTGAACTATGTAACAAGCTATATACAAAGACCGATAGGCAGGCAGGCAGGCAGCCTTTTACATCTCCATAAGTCAGTATCAAACATTTGGTTTCACTAAATCCCTACCCCACATACATTTTCTAGACTTTTCTTCAATAAATATTTTTGTTTCAAAGCATGCTGCTCAGAATCTGCATCTCTGATGATTAATCTTTTCACCTAAATTACCATCTTCAATGACAATTTAGAATGATCATGGAAACCTGGGCACATCTATGAGTCTGTTTCCAGACAGGTTTAACTGATTACAAAACCCCACCCTGAATGACACCTGCAATCCACAGAGTTGGGTGCTGGACGGAATAAAGAGGAAGTGAGCTGAGCACGCTGCTCCCTGACAGCATGCGATGCAATCAGCAGCTTTGTGCTCCTGAGGTCGCGCCCTGTACAGGTCATATCCTCAAACTGTGAGTCGAAATAAACCCTTCATTTTTGACGGCTGAACCATCTTTCCAGCACCTCTCTGTCTTTCTAGCATTCAGCACTATTCCTAGCACCATTCATTGAATGACAATGTTTCATCCTTCAGTCCTTAGGTTTTGAATCCTGCACCTGGGAACCCCAGGTTCCCAGGCTAGAAGTAAAAGTCTGCCTTGGAAGCCCCGACCCCTACTGACAAGATGCAGAGCCTCAGGACCGAGCAGACACAGGGACTACTTCCTCGGGACAGCAGAGCCTGGGAGAAGCCCTGCCACCCCACCTTCCCCAAGGACTGGGAGGCTGTGGAGGTTGGGGCCTCCAGCTGTGACAGTGATGAGAAAGGTGAGAGGTCCTGGGGAAGGTGGGCAAGGGAGATACCTGTGACAGAACTTGGGGAGAAGCTGAGCATCCATTCTGCTACTCACTGACTTGTGCAGTGTTGAAATGGTCAGTTTTTTTTTCTGCATAACATTTAGTTACTTAGTGCAATAAGCATGTATGGGGTCATAATTCTATTAGTCAGCAGTTTGATATGATCTCAGGGACATGTTTCCTGTTGTCTGTTTTTGTACTTGCTTGTGAAGTCATAGGGAGCTGGCAGAGCTGTTTCTTAGATGGCTTCACTTACACATTGATTTGATTGACTAATTTGAGGGTGGTGATCATAAACCTTGTGTCTGCAAGAGGTATATTCTCATGGGTCCTTGGAGAGCAGTGAGGAACAGGGAATGCTGGGATGCCTAAGCACTTAAACTTAAAAAATTTGTGTGTGTGTGTGTGTGTGTGTGTGTGTGTGTGTGTGT